CACAAATGAACTCGTACAAGTGCATTGGTGTGTCTGTCTGTCTGTCCATCTCTTCAGCTTTTGTTTTTCTTTCTCCCTTTCTTTCTCTCAATATCACGTACAAATGCATACGTGTGTCTGTCTGTCTGTCTGTCTGTCTGTCTGTCTGTCTGTCTGTCTGTCTGTCTGTCTGTCTGTCTGTATGTTTGTCTGTTTGTCTGTTTGTGTTTCTGTTTGTCTGTATGTCTGTCTGTCTGTCTGTCTTCGTCTTCCGCTTTTTTCTTTCTTTCTCTTTCTTTCTCTCAATATAGATCTATGTGTGTTTCGGGCCGGGACATAATGTAGTGTTGGAGAAAGTCCCATTTTCAATATATACATGTATATCTCTCGTATGTCCGCAAAGTGAACCTACTTTAGTGAACGTAGTTTCTACTCGTATTGCGAGTGTATTTTTGGTTAAACATAAGTGTACACAGGTCACCTGAGGGTGCGGTGGCGAAGTGGTTAGTGCGCTCGTCTCCGAAGCGGAAAGTCCGAGTTCGAGCCTCGGTTCAGACACGGATCTTTTTGCGCCCCCTCCTACCCACCCAGAAGTAGTGGGTACCTGACTTCGAGTTGGGGAAGTAAAGGCGGCGTGGAAAGGAACTGGCCACCCTACCACAATATGCCGAAGGCTCAGGAAGTTGTCTCACTAACAAGACAATCCCCAATACCCGGATCGGATGCGGGAACAACTTTGTTTTTACACCGCCCACCTAAAATGCTGCCCAGTTTGCTTTTGTCTTAAGAAACACCATTAAATACGAGTCATCATTATCATTGGAGCCATTAACAGGCGCTTCGAAGGTACCCTGGTTGGTACTACTTCTTTTTGTGTAAAGCAGTACGGTAGGCCTAATTCCTTTCTACTCGTCGTCCAACCAGCGAGCCCGAGACGAGACAGTCTCGGACCAGGCAGTGAAGGGGTTAAACACACTTAATTACTTGCCGTAAATTGGAGGAACAGAAATTCGTTAGTCAGTTCATCTTATGGCCAAATATCAAACAATCAAGCAAACGTCACACCGTATATTTCTTTTCGGGACGCACAATGTGTAATTTTGACCTTCTCTCACCTCACCTCGGAAGTGTTATTCTTTAATTGGCTTTTCTTTTTTATCAACAGCATCATTTTATTTTTTATTTAGTGGAGATCTTTCAGCGCTCTGCATAAGGCCATATGAGCGCTAAGGGGTGGATGTCAACGGAGAAGTCTTTACAGGGAATCAGGCTTCCTCTGCTCACCTCTCAAGCTTCAACAGCACAATGTCTGCTTCGACTATCAAATCACTCCGAAAAAAAAACGAGTCACAAGAGTGTGACAAACATACTAAAGAAATAGAGGAAAAATGACGATAGTCAGGACTAGGAAAGAAAAAGCAGTAGTTCCCTGTTGCAGTTCAAGCACAGTTATGAGCATGACATTGTTGAATCAGCCCATTTATAATTCTACTTTGTTTTAGAACATGATGATATCCCCCCTTTGGGAATGGCCTAAAGACACGTAAATCAGTAGCACCGCCCTGACGGAACTGCTGGGTACTGCTGCTTTTTCTTGCCTAATCCTGACTATCGACATTTTCCTCTACTTCTTTTCTATTTTTGTCGCACACTTGTGACTCGCTATTTTCGGGGTGCCTTGATAGTTGAAGCAGGCTTTGTGCTGTTGAAGCTAGAGAGGTGAGCAGACTAAGCCTGATTCGCTATAAAGACTTCTCTGTTGACATCCACCCCTTGGCGCTCATATGGCCTTATGCAGAGCGCTGAAAGACCTCCACTAAATAAAAAATAAAATGGTTCTGTTGATAAAAAAAGAAAAGCCAATTAAAGAATAACACTTCCGACGTGAGGTGAGAGAAGGTCAAAATTACACATTGTGCGTCCCGATACGAAATATACGGTGTGACGTTTGCTTGATTGTTTGATATTTGGCCATAAGATGAACTGACGAATATCTGTTCATCCAATGTGCGGCAAGTAATTAAGTGCGCCGAAAAAACTCTACTACAACAAAACAAATTCACAGACATTGTCTGTCTTACATTCATTTCCTCGCGTTAAATGATGGTTACTGTGTCGATGTGCATCTCTTAGTCATATTTTCCTCACACATAATATGCAACAGTCGCCGGCCCTAACACTTACCCCAACCTCGAAGTTATATTGCTAAACGGGCTTTAATATCTCTCTCTCTCTCCCTCTCCC